CAACGCCCGGCTATTTTTTGGTTGCAGCCGTCATTGTTGTTTGGCGGGTCCGGGCTGGGGATTCGAACCCGCCACCTTAGGTGTACGTGGCTGGCGAACCTGAAGTCTTTATTCTGCTTTTCCCAGGTAAGAGATGTGATACCCGCATTACCAATAAGCCCTTCTAAAACCTTCAAAGATTTAAGACGGAAGAAGCAGGTAAGTTGATTTATGAACCTAGTAAAATCTTTATATCCTTTAAATCGATCATTGACACATTTGAAATAACAGAGACAATGTTTCCTTTTCAGTTCCAGTTCAGGCAAATTCTACTGTAAAATATATTTTAAAATAAGCCAGAGCTTATCTACCTAGAAAAAGCCCTTAAAATAAGCAAATGACACCAGGAAGAGGAAAGGAGGGTGCTACTATTTGAAAATATTTGATTGAGGGACTTCACCTAACAAATGCAAACATTGTAATCTAATTCTTTATACCGTCAATTAACCTGAAACAATAAAAAATAAATAAATAAAAATATATGACTTGCAAATTAAAAACAAGGTAAGTATAGTTTTGATTTTTTGTGTCATAAAAATGTAATAAACTTGGTTTCTTTTGAAAACTAAACACATTTAGTAAGACTTGTGGAGGTGAAATAAGACACCTGACAATTTAGAGCGAGCTTACCCAGGTGGCTTTTTATACTGAGAAGAATAATGTTGTTAATTAGCCTCATTCATGACACACTGCTGCAGATAGAGCCTCCATGGCAAGGAAGGCATTCTAGAATCTGCACCTGGGCTGTGTAGGCACCAACATTATAGCCCAGGCTAAGGAACTGGAAAGGACTCTAAAGTCAGGGTACAGAAGAGGCTTAGAAACAGGGGTTCAAAATCTGGTGTGTGTGTGTGTGTTTGAGACAGAATTTCACTATGTTGCCCTCGGTAGAGTGCTGTGGTGTCACAGCTAACAGCAATCTCCAACTCTTGGGTTTAAGTGATTCTCTTGCCTCAGCCTCCCAAGTAGCTGGGACTATAGGCACCTGCCACAACACCCAGCTATTTTTTTCTTGAAGTTGTCATAGTTGTTTTAGCAGGCCTGGTCCAGTGTATGTGGCTGGTGTCCTAACCACTGAGCTAAGGACACCAAGCCAGTTGTGGTTTTCAATTGCAAACATTTTAGAAAAAAATTATCCACAATCCCAGTAGGATTATCATTGTTTTGGGTGTGTACTCTGCAAGTCTTTCTATGTATCCAGGCATCATAATAAACCTCTGAGGTAGAGTTATCATCTGCTTAATACTGATAAGGAAACTAGGCTCAGAGAGGCTGAGTGAGTTGCCTAAGATCACACATGTAATAAATTTGTCAGCTCAGATGTCAGCCCACTGATTTCTTTTCTTTCTTTTTTTTTTTTTTCTGAGACAGAATCTCATTTTGTCAGCCTGGGTAGAGTGCCATGGCATCATACTTCATAGTACCCTCAAACTCTTTTGTTGTTGTTGTTGTTGTAATTACCATTGTTATTTGGGAGGCCTGAGCTGGGTTCGAATCCACCAGCCCAGTGTATGTGCTGGCGCCCTAACCACTGAACTGTGGATGCTGAGCTTCCTTTTGTTTCTTGATATGAAGTTTTTATGAACATGCATCTATCTATCCTTTCTTTTATGATCTCTTTCATTGATAGAAAGCTCTCTAGAAGGAGGGAGGGGGATGGGAGAAGGAAGAGCAGAGACAGGGAAGGAGGGAGGAGGTGGGGGGGTTTCAGTGTGTGACACACTTTTGGGGGGCAAGACACAAGTATAAGGGGGACCTTACCTAACAAATGCAATCAGTGTAACCTGGTTTCTTATACCCTCAATGAATCTCCAACAATAAAAAAATAAAAAATAGGGTGGTGCCTGTGGCTCAAAGGAATAAGGCGCCGGCCCCCTATGCCAGAGGTGGCAGGTTCAAAGAGAAAGCTATCTTCCTTCCAGATATGTAACAGTAAGTTTATTTTCTTCAAGATTTCTAAAGTATAAAGTAATCTGTGGCTTAATTTTAAAAAAATACTTAATTCTTTAATCCATGTGGAATTTATTTGTATGTGGTCAGAGTTAATACTGCCAACCAGTTATCTTCATATTGTTTATTAAATATAATTGTTTGTTTATAATGCAAAAGGGGGAAGATGAAAATGTGGGAAACTAACGTCCTTGGAGAAAGAGATTGGTCAGGCCTCTGTGGAGGGATTAGCCTTGAACAGGAAGGTCAGCTCCCTCCTTTGCATTTGGAGCACACAGGGAAAGGGCTGGGGTGGCAGCAGGTGGCACTGAATAGAGGGGAGCAGAACTCTGCCTAACAGCTTTGATTTTCCCTGATACAGAGACACTGGATTTTAGGCTTAATTTCCAGGAGCAACCACAAAAAGGCGCTGGTCTTGGAACTCTGGGAGTCTTATCCCCAGCTCCTCTGGGACCCTAGCAACTCTGCCTCCCCCCCATCTGTCCCTGCCTCCTGCTGTTCTTCCTTTTATCATGGCATCCAGTCTCCCAACCACTCTAGTCACCAGCAGGACCTGATCAGAATCCCAGAACAGCATCATGCACACATGTGCCACCTTCATAATTCATAAGGCATGTTCAACCTCGAACCTCACGACAATCTGAGCTGAAGACAAGCAGGTACTCAAGGCCCAAGGGTATTAGCAGGGACCTGTGTGTGGAAGAGCCAGGACTCAGACCAGGGCTCAGACTTCAGGCACCCTGCTCTGCTCTATGGACACCCTGGCAGGCGGTTTCAGTCGTTTGAGACAGCTCTCTCCAGCATCTCCCACTCCATCCAGCAGTCTTGAACCATCTTCACCTACTGCTTCAATCCCAACCCTGCAGTTCCCCTCTCAGCTTCCTTTCTACAACCCCCATGTTGGGTGACCCTCAGGCAAGTTACTCTCTCTCACCAGGCTTTCATATACACTGGAAATTGTAAGAGAAACTAGGTCTTTGTGATGTTGTGAGGACAAAGTGAGTTCATGCGTGGAAAGAGCTTACAGCAGCATCTAACACCAAACTCAACAAATCTCAGCAATGAACAGGGCTGACGGGTTCTGCTGTGTGTGCGATCCCATCCTACACGGCCCCTCACCACTTCTCCATGATCCTGGTATTCACCGAAAAAGGACCTGGTCACAACTTCTCTGCAAAGGCCTTCTAAACATGCTCACAAGCTTCCAAAAAATTAAGAAACAATTCAAAAGGGAAAAACTCAGTAGTCTCAGAAGCATAAAGAACTTCAATAGGTTAAGCATCTGGGCAGGGGACACACAGGATTATTGGGAAAAATAGAGCAGAACAGGGCACCCCTGAGCTGCACTTCCCAAGTTTCGATGCTGCTGGGGACCTGAGAAGTCTGAGCTTGGCAATGTTCTCCCAGAAATGAGGACCAGCCCACAGGTCACCTCTTCTGATCCCCAAACCTCTACAAAACTTAATTTCTAGGTGAACTTCTCCTGGGGAAGGGAAGGGCAAAGAAGGATGTAGGAGGGAAAACCAGTAGGAAACTTCTCATAGTAACTAAACATTTTTTTTAAATTTCCACAGGCATATTCTTCCCTTGTTTGTTTTCCTTTTGGTTTCCCCTGGTTAATAGGAAACCTCCCTCTGGCAACGTCAATTTCTTCCAGGTGAGTAGTGAGAACACAGGGAAGGGACTTAGTTTCCCTGCTGCTGAAGCATTTTGGTGTGCATTCAGGCAGGAAGGCTGTGTGGGTAACAGCCCTGGGAGGAGGGTCCGAGTGAACGTGCTGCCTGCTCCTACCTCACAGAGAAAACTAGAGTCCTTCCCTGTGTTTGCCTCTAGACAGCCACAGGTGACCCTCTGATCGTCTTCCCTGACAAAGGTTCATCTCAGGTGGAGGTGGGGAATAGAGGCAGAGAGCAATGGACAGATTTCTAGACCTGTCACAATGGAGCCACAGGTTTTGAAGAATCCACTTATCCTCCCACCCCCATCTTGCTAATGATATGTTATCATTCCTGTCATTATAAATCACCCAGTAACAGAGTCTGGAACAGGCTCAGCCTAACCACAGTGGACCCATCAAGGTTGAGTTCCATCGGTGACATTCATTTCCCACTTCTACAATTTTTTGTGTCTCTTGAAAGAGTCTTGATTCTCATTCAGAGCATCTACAAAAAGGAAAGCCATCAAATTAGCACAAATTTTAGCTCTTTCTAGGAGACACGCCTCAAACGTTCATATTTTCGTGGGAAAGCAAGTCTCTTCTTTTTACTCTTTAGAAAAGGAGCAGTAAATAGTCTGATGTAAGCATTCCAAATTGTATTAAAAAATCAACGCACTGTACCCCACAAATGCATAAATGTATTCATGATCTATGTGTATATGACTTAATAAAAGGAAACCAAAAAAGAAAAGGAATAGTTTTCCTTCCCATATTTGTCGGATGAAATCACCTACAGGTGGAATAGCAAAGCCACACTAAGAAACGGGTGGGTGTTCTGAGCAACCTGGCATCTAATTAGATTTTGACGTAAACCATGCCTTATAAAACTCATGAGACTAAGATAAACTTTTTTCTCTTAACTTTTATCTTCTTTTACATCAAATATCCTCACAGATCAGCCTCCTTCCCCAAGTCTAGACAAACGCCAGCGCCAGCCCACCGGTCCCGCTTCTACCAGTTTACGGGCTTTCTTATCCCTAAGACAGAAACGAGGGCCGCTCCTTCGGATGACCTAAGCTAAAGTACACTATAAATAATAACTTAGAACGAGTGTGTTTCGTTTCTAACTTGGCAAAGGGCCTCGCGATCCTGCCTAGGTGGGTCTCCGGATGTCTGGTAAAGGGCGGCCACCTAACAGGTGCAAGGACTGCGGGACCCCAGAGGTCCGGCCCCAGCCAGCTCTTCAATCGCGTGCTTACCCAGCCGGGGCGAGGCGCGGGCGGTGGCCGGGGCTGGGTTTCCAGCCTCTAGGCCGTTCTCCGCGCGGGTGAGGCTGTAGCTGCTGTAGCCGCGATGCAGCGCGAACTTGCACACGCTGCGGCCCCGCGCGGTGCAGTTGAAGAGGTAGCAGGGGAGCGCGGCGGGCTGGGCCGCGGGCCGCCGGGGCAGCTCCACCACCGCCACGGAGCAGCGCGGCTCGGAGCAGCAGGCCGCCACGCACTGCCGCCAGTCTCGCACGGCCGCTGGGGCCCGCAGGAAGCTGGCACCCGCCGCGATGGAGTCCTTGGTGCGGATGATGGCGTCCGGCATGGCGCTGTAGCCGCCGCCGCCCGGGCCCGGGCAGTCCTCCTGGGGGCCGCCGCCCGCGCGCAGCTCCAGCTCCAGCTCCTCCGGCGGCCGCTCCTGCTGCAGCTGCCGGCGGAACTCTTCCAGCAGCTGCTCCACGCCCGAGAGCTTCGCGTGCAGCTCGGACAGCGGGGCTGCCGGCTGCCCGGCCGCGCGGCCGCTCGGCAGCCACAGGCAGAGCAGCAGCAGCCCGCGCAGCGCCCGGTGACGCGACGGTCGCCAGCGCCCCGAGCCCGCGCTCTCCCGGGAGGCGAAGGCCATGGCGACAGACGGCAGAGGGGAGCGAGCCGAGGCGGGGCCGGGCGCTGAGGGAAGGTGGCGGGGAGGCCGGGGCACGGGCCTCTTGCGCGGCCGCGAGGGGCTGTAGGCCCGGGCCTCAGAGCTCAACGCCCCCAAGGCCCGCCTGCGTCCCCGAGGCCACAGGCGCGCGAAAGTTAACGGGAACCGCAGCAGCGGGAGGCATAGCGGAGCGTCTGCAGGACGGCGTCGACGTGGATCAGCACCCGGCGGGCGAACAGTGGCACGGCGGGGCGGAGCCTGGGCGGGGCCACGGCCAGACCCGCCCTCCCGGCGCGGGTCTCCCCCCTCCTCGCGCCCCTTCTCCCCCGCCCCCAGCGCTTCTAAACCGGCTTCTGCCTGCCCTTCGCACTAGCGGGCGCGGGCGGTGTGGGGCCGGCGCTCGTGAGAGGGCAACCCAGAGAACAGTTTGGTGCCTGTGGCCCTGCTCAGCCCGGGTGAGGTTTGCGTCTGGGCAAGCAGGCTTTATTCACCCACCAGACCTGCTCAGAGCAATGCTCACAGGAGCCCGGGCACTTGCGGGTGGCAGTGGGGCTGGCGGGAGCGGGCATCTCCACAAATCCTTGTGGCCTCAGGACTACTCCGGAGAAGAGACGTACTCAGCTAGGCAACCATCAGAAACCATCATCGGTCATTCTCTTCCAGCGTTCCTGACAGTTTCCACGTTGAGTTCCTAAGAAGAGGTGCTTGCCTGGCACAGGGAGGGGGCAGTCTTGAAGGATGTTTGGTGCTTTTAGTAAATCAGGAAGGACGTCTGGGCGCCTGTGGCTCAAGTGGCTAAGGCGCCAGCCACATACAACTAAGGTGGCGGGTTCGAATCCAGCCCGGGCC